TCTGGTCTATAGCTTGAAACTCTTTAAGGACTATTTGATTTGATGCTAACTAATCTTGTTGAGGCTTGAGAAGGTGATGCTATTGTGCTGCTGGCATATATATCTGGTGCTGAAGCTATTTGTTCTAATACTAGCTTGTATATATTTGGCTTTGGCTTTGGCTTGAACTTATAAAATGGAGGGCCATATAGACCAAGCCTGCTCGCAATGATAGGATGATGGTGTTTGTATGTGGCCAGATTGACTCTGAACACATCTTTTAGGATTGGATTTAGAGGTAGCAGAGCAAAATTGGTGTGAAACTTGGACAGTGTACCTTAGATTTTTTGCTTATATCTCTTATTTGTAGGGTACTTATTATGTTTGAACTTTGTATTATGCTTTGGGCATTACACAGTAACACAACATGCTCTTTTTATTTTTTATTTTCTCTAATAAATATATACGAGTATAAATACCGCTAGCAATAACAAAAGTTTGTGCAAAAGTACTTTTAGATAAGACAACCTATCCATGTACTTTTTATTTTCTTTCAATAAAAGTGTTTATTTTTTGAGATGATAATTGTTATAAACCGAGGTTATTTGATTGTTGTCTAAAGTTTCGCCCAAAATTACGAAAGTAATGTTAGATAGTGTGTACACATACTCATTGTACTGAAGGTTATCGTTTCTTTGAACTTTAAAAAAGTTTGAGACCTAATAGCTATGCTACTGTTTAAAAAGAGTGTTCTTAACTTATTATAAACAACTCTAGCATAACAATTATATGACAAGACAATTAGCAATAGATTACTATTTCTCATAATTTTAAAAATAGTTCTACACTTACTATCCACACTACTCTTTAAAAAAGTTTTCTTAACTTATTTTAGACAACTCTGAAAAAACACATGTGACACAGACTACTAGTAATACATTACCGTTTCTCATGACTTTAAAAATAGTTCTAGGCTTTATAGTGTGACTATTGTTTAAAATTAGTATTCTTAATTTATTGTAGACATTTGTGGCAACAAAAACTGTATTTTGATATTACACCGACAACTACTAATAGTTTACCGTTTTTATGAACTTTAAAAACAGATGTTGGCTAAGTACCTAGACTATTGTTAAAAAGGAGTATTGTATTCTTATTATAAACAACAATGCCAAAAATACTTTATGACATAGACAACTAGCAATAGATTATTGTTTCTCATAACTTTAAAAATAGTTCTGGACTGAATAACTAGACTACTGTTTAAAAAGAGTATTCTTAACTTATTGTTGACAACTGTGATAACAAAAACTGTATTTTGATATGACACAGACAACTAATAATAGAATACCGTTTCTCGAAACTTTAAAAATAGTTTTAAGCATAATAGCTAGACTACTACTTTTGTAGCTAACAACAACAAACAGTAGTCTGATTTTTTTAACTACTGTTTTTTCATAAACAGTAGTTAATCAACAATCGTCTGACACTGTTTTTGGCGTAGTGAATTCAAAATAATAGTAAAACATAAACTCTTATCTCTAAAGTTGGAGTAACATATTTTTATTTTCAAAATATAATTTTTGTACTATGACAATATGATATCGTATATTGGCATTTAAAACATTTTTTCATATTATATGTTGGCATTATTCGTATTATAAATTCCATTTTAAAATAAACACATGAAATATTTATTTTATTCTTTCCCTATGTGTTACTCATATTTTAGTACCTATTTCTCCCTATATTTTGATATAACTTCTCTTGTTTCTCCGGTGTTGGATGTTAGAATATTGCTCATGCCTTAGAGGGAGGGTGAATAAGGCGTTGAAAGAAGTTTAAAAACTTTTTCAATTTTATCCCTTTTATTTGAGTCAAATGGTGCTTAAAAAAATTAATTGCGTTAAAATAAATGCGGAGTAATAAACGCAATAAATAGAAGCATAAAGTAAGTGTACCGTATTTTATACTAGTTCGGGAACTCCCTACTCTAGTACCTTAATGCTCCTTCTTAAGGATTTCCAATCCACTAGAACATCTTGACCGTCTCAACACGATTGTCAGAACGGAACTAGTTTTAGGCAAACAAACCTTTGTCAATAGGTTTACACTAGATCGACAATACTTCACGCCTTGAAGTATCCAACTAGCTTGAGGATTTTTCAATTGCTATACCCAATCGTGCATCAAAGATTTGCAGGATGTCTTCAACCTAGAGATTTTGCAACGGCTATCTTCAACCGTCTCAACAAGGATTTCACGGATGTCCTTGACCGCTTCCAGAGATTTCACCACGGCTATCTCCAACCGTTCTTCAATAAAGATTTTGCAACGGATATCTTTGACCGTTGCGAGCATGATGATCCGAGTTTCGCCAGAAGATCAGCTACCCCATTGGCCTCCCTTAGGGTGTGAGTGAGATGGTGGTTGGACACCTGGAGATTGAACCGGATGGATGTGAGGGCATTAGAGTTGGAGATTCCTCGTACGTTGTTTATGAGTTCCATGCTATCCGTTTCCACGATCATGTTTGGGAAAGTGTAGATGCTTAGGGCCTGTGCCATTGCGAGTGTTTCTGTGGTTGCGGGGGAAGTGAAAGGAAGTGGGAAGGCGATTGCATGGAGGAAGTTTCCTTGGTGGTCTCTGAGAACAGCTCCTCCTCCACAACCATTTCTGTTCATGCTACCATCTACGTTAAGCTTGTATTGGTAGCGGTTGGGAGGAATCCAGCGGACGAGTTTGAATGGTTTGGAGGGGATTCTTCTGAGAGTTCGAGGCATGGGGATACCCTTGTGAGCAAGAGACCATGCATTCAAGGTGTGTTTGATGATCTCAAGGGTTTTTCCAGGGAGGAAGTGGTCACCACCCAATTTGATCCGGTTGTAAGTTTTCCATAGTTCCCAGGTGATGATGCTTGGGATGTTTGGTTTGAGATGGTAGAGGGGGTCCGCCGGGGCTGAGGAGAGCCACCACATAATGAGGTTGTGTTGAAAGGAGGAGTTAGTAATTACAGGCATTTGCAGCATTCCTCCCAAGGTGTTCCAGATATAGGAAGCTTTTGGACACTGCATGAGGCAATGTAGGTTAGTTTCCAGATCTCTTTCGCAAAGGAGGCACATAGAGGGGAGATTGTAACCTAGTTTCACAAGGTTGTTGGCAAAGGGGGTGGCACCGTTCAGGGTTTTCCATAGGAAAAGGCTTGCCTTTGGGATGCATTTCTTGGGCCAGGGGATACGGGCAGTGAGCAGTGAGGGTTCAGGGCCATGGAGTTTTGCAGTTACCTCTTTGAGAGAGAAGGAACCATTATCTCCAAGGTTCCATTCAAGACTTTCGTTGTTGAGGGTTGAGTTTTCCACGCAGAAGTCATTTGTTTGGCATATCCTTTTCCAAATTGGGCTATCAATAAGGGTTGTAGTAAAATTTCCGGAGCGATGGTAGCTCTGCTTGAGAAAGGATACCCAAGGGGAGGAGGTGAAATGATACTTCCACCAGAGCTTGCATCCTAGCGATTGTTGAAGAGTGTGAAGGTTAGGGATCCCAAGACCTCCTTCCGTCGTTGGTGTGCAGATCTTTTTCCAGGAAATCCATGCATGCTTTGTATGGTCATCTGTTTTCCCCCAGAAGAAGTGGCAAAGCTTGCGCTCAATCATGGTGAGGACACCCTCAGGAAGTTTGGAGGAGGACATGGTGTGTAAAGGGAGGGTGGAGAGTACATGTTTTATGAGAGTGAGCCTCCCAGCTTGTGATAAGGTGTGCATTTTCCAGCTGGAGAGCTTGTTATCAATCTTGCTAAGGAGATCTTGGCAGTATTTCACCCTGTTTATACCTTTGTAGATGGGAGTGCCGAGGTAGGTTACTGGCAGTGAGGCTAGTTTCATTCCCAAGCAGTCTTTTTGGCGTTTTGCATGGTTGGAGGAAGGCTTTGGTGAGATTATCTGGCTTTTCGTGAGGTTGAGGTGGAGTCCAGTTGATTCTTCGAAGTTGCTAAGGAAGTTTTTTAGCTTCTTGAGGTTGTGAATAGAACCATTGGTAAATACGAGCACATCATCCGCGTAAGATAGGTGATTAACCATTTGAATTCTGCCTGTGTTAAAACCTGTGAGATGGCCTGTGGAGACAAGTTTGTTCAGGGAACGTGTGAAGCCTTCCATTGCAATGATAAAAATGTATGGGGACAATGGGTCGCCCTGTCTCACGCCTCTCCTGGGGTTGAAGGGTTTGGAAGGGGTTCCATTCACCAGGGTGGAGATAATGCTGTGTTGGATGGAGTTCATTACTAGGGAAGTGAACTTCTGGTTGAATCCAAATCTGTTTAGGCATTGCGAGATATAATCCCACGAGATAGTGTCAAAGGCTTTTGTGATGTCAAGCTTTAGGGCTAGGTTCCCTCCTTCTGTTTTACGATCAATAAGGTGGATGAGTTCTCGTGCTAGAAGGGTGTGATCGTTGATGTCTTTTCCGGGTACAAACCCTCCTTGCTCCATGGAGATAATGCATGGCAAAAGGGTGGTGAGTCTTGATGCCAAAATTCTGGTGATGATTTTTGAAGAGAAATTTGTAAGGCTGATGGGGCGGAAGTCAGAGAAGGTTGTGGGGGAATCTTTTTTGGGGATTAGGACCATATTGGATTTCCTCATGGCCTTTGGCGGAATGATACCTAGAAATGATTCTTGGATGGCACTACAAACATCTGCTTGGATAATGTCCCATGTTTGCCGATAAAATGTGCCATTAAATCCATCTGGTCCAGCGCAACTGTTTGGATCCAGAACCCAAACTGCATTTTTGACTTCTTCAATGGAAGGGAGTCTGCAAAGAGCAGTGTTCTGGGCTTCGGTAATCGTGCATGGTATGTGTTGGAGGATTGCTTCCATGTTGGTGGTGGGATGGTGGCTGTAGAGGTCTGCATAGTAGTGAGTAGCTGCTTCCAGGATATCTATCTCTTTGGAGATGAGATTGCCGTGTTTGTTGAGGATGGAGTGAATATGCTGCTTTCGCCATCTTGCCCTACATGCTGCATGGAAAAAAGAAGTGTTAGCATCCCCTTGGGAGATCCATTTGGCGTTTGCTTTTTGTCTCCAATAAGCTTCCTCTGTGTGGATACTCTTCAAAAGATGTGCTTTGGCCTCTCCCCAGAGGGAACGTGTATAGTCATTAGGGTTGCTTTCATAATCTGCTTCTGCTCTAGTACATGCCTCCTCAGCAAATTTTACAGCGGTGAAGAAATTTCCAAACGTGTCTTTGCTCCATTTGCTTAGGCTGGTTTGTGTGGCTTTGAGTTTGAGATAGAGTCCATGCATCCCCCTCCCCGTGTGGGTGGCCTCCCAAGTTGCCTTGACAGTGGTGGTGTAGGAAGAGTGAGTAGTCCAAAGGTTGAGGAACCGGAAGGGTTTGGGTGTGTTGCGAGGTTGGTATGAGAATTGGAGAAGAATTGGGTTGTGATCAGAGGTGGTTTTGTTGAGGATGGAGTAATGAGTATTGGGGAAAATGCTGTCTGCTTTGGGGTTGAGGAGGAAGCGGTCAAGTGTTCTAGATACCATGCCGTTGGATCTTTTGCCAGACCAAGTGTAGAGGGGGCCGTCATGGTGAGGTTGGATTAGGTTGCAGTCTAAGATGCAGGAATTGAAGTCCTCTATGCTTGGGTAACATGGTGGTGCATTCCCTCTGTGTTCATTTGGACTAGTTATGCAATTAAAATCTCCTCCTACGATCCATGGGAGGTTGTGGGAGGAGGAGTGTGCCCTGAGAGAATTCCAAAGAGGGAGGCGTGCAGTTCTCGAATGTAATCCATAAACTATGGAGAGCCAGAAAGTGTTGGAAGTGAGTATATGTGTGAACTGGCCATGAAGCACTTGATTCTGTTCATAGTGGTTAACTAGGGTGAAGTGATTAGGATCCCAAAGAAACCAAGCTTTGTTCGAGAGGCCATGAAGATGCTTGTGGAGATTGAGTTGGTAACCAATGGAGGTCAGTTGGGTTGAGGGTATCATGGGCTCCAGGATACCCAAGAGTTTGACATTGTGACTGTGTGAGAGTTGATGAAGGCGATCTTGAGAGGAAGGGATTCCTCTTACATTCCAAAAAAGAACCTTCATATGTAAAGAGGAGAGTTTAGAGGTAGAGATAGTGAAGCCTTCGCACGCTGTCTTGTGATCATGTTAGACTTGGGGGGTAGGTGGGAAGCTTTGTTTCGTTTGGTGTTCTTGGCTGGTTGGTATGGAGTAAGGTCTATGGCAATGTCTTCCTTGGAGCTTGGGGGTAGTTTAGAGGCTATGGAAGTGCTGAACTCCCTGAGTTCTTGAGTGGAACATGGCCTACTTTGGGCTCTCTTGGGACTGCCCTCGTTGTCTGAGCAATGTGCATAGTCCACGTAGGTTTTGGCATCTGTGAAATTGAGGTCACAAATTGGAGGCCACTGTAATTTTGCAGGAGCTGATTTAGGAGACATATTAAGAAGTGTCCTGTCCATGGGGTCATGTGGGGGGTGGTATTCACAAAGGGCTTGAGGAGAGGGGTGGTAGGGTTGGGGTCCTTTGCTGATTGTTGAGTGGGTTCTTGGAGTGAAGTGCTTGGGGTGGAGCTGGTGGAAGGAGGTGGAGGATTGGGATTGTGAGGGTTTTGTAGGGTAGTTGTTGGGACGGGTATATTGGAGGGTGGTTGTGGGCTATGTGATTTAAGGGTAGTTTGGATTGTAGTAATTGGAGGAGAAGTGGTGGGTGTCGTACCTGTTTGGGGTGTTGTAGTGGTGGGTTTAGCCAGAGGAATTGGAGTTTTGCCCTTGGCACAGTCCCCTGATGAGTGGCCTGACTTTGGCAATCAACGCAGTACTGGGGTAGCTGTTCGTACGTGACTTGCTGCCACAACCCTTTCCCGCCATTGTCCAAGAAGAACTTCGCCGGAAGTTCCTTGGTGACGTCAAGTTCCACGCAGAATCTGGCGGCAGAAGGTCTGGTTCTTGAGGATGTTGCTGCATCTAACATAAGAGGAGTGCCAAAAATCTTAGCTATTGCATGGAGAGCAAGAGGGTCATGAAAATGGATTGGGAGGTGTTCAAGCGTGATCCAGACTGGGAAAATAGGGCTTTCCTCATCACAGTGAAATTCAGGGCTCCATTTGAAGACATGCATGGGGCAACCTTGAATTTGCCATATCCTTTTGGAGAAGCACTGTTGGTAGTCTTCAGCGTTGGAAAAGGTAAGGAGGACGTGAGAAGGGGCCAGGACTCCCACTGAGTAGCTATTTCTGAATCCAATCTGTTCCAGGACCTGCCTAAGGACTAGGAGTGGAGGTCTGGATTTGGGGAATCTCCCTACTAGAGAGAATTCGTAGGGAGCAGAGAGGGATTTGATTTCCGAGGGGGTGAACGAGATTGCTGGATAACCTTTGTGTTTGGAGATGGTTTTGGAGGATATGGATTGATGGGAGGTAGGGGGGAGGAGCCAATGACATGTGCAAAGGAGCGCTTGATGTCATGGCGTGGAACTAGGACTGAGGAGTAGGGTGGCAGAGGAGAAATTCCTTCGTACCTGGGTTTCCTTTGTGGTGGAGGTTGCTGCAAGTGGCGTAGGGGAGGAGGATGTGAGCTGCTGACTTGAGCTGCGGGATGATTGAGGGGAGGAGTTGAAGAGGATGGTTTGCTGTTGAGAGGGGTTGAAGTTGAGGTTGGCTTATTGCTGGTAGTTGTAGCTGGAGCCGAAGGGAGATCAGTGGAGGGCGCTGGTGGAGGGACGGAAGGGACGGCGGAGAGAGGCGGAGGAGGTAGGGAGGGGGGAGAGAGGAGAGAGAAGACAAATTATATATATATATATATATATATATATATATATATATATATATATATATATATATATATATATATATATATATATATATATATATATATATATATATATATATATATATATATATATATATATATATATGTATGTATGTATGTATGTATGTATATATATTTTTAAATACGGAATTTATATTGATAATAATCAAAGGATGTTTACAGCAATGTGGGAGAAGCATTCGTCCCACCAGTTAAGATTACAAGACAGAAAAGCATTGAGAGTTATTTCTATTAAAGTGCAAACGAAAACCCAAGGACTTCAACGTTTCATCCATATGCATCCATTGCTTGCCTTTGTGAATCCATATCCATTGTTGTATCGTCTTCATGATTGTTGCGATAATAGTCCCTTCTTTGAAGGCTTTCCCGGCGTATTTCACTTCGTTGTGAGCCTTCCATAGTCCCCATGCAATGAAGCCGGGGAGGACCGAGGTGATTTTATCCTGCAGCTTGTTCCTTGGCGTGCTAATCCACGATTTCATGCAGGTATCGTGTAGGGTATCTTCCCTACTACGAATGGGACCATCAAATAGAGCTGAGAAGAACCTCCAAATTCTGAAGGACATTTGACACTGGAGGAGGGTATGGTTGAGGTCCTGCGGGCCGTTGAGACAGAAGCTGCATTGGGAAGGAAGGGCAAGGTTAAACCTGGATAAGTTTTCCGGGAAGGGGAGTATATTATTGAAAGCTTTCCACATGAAGAGGCTGATCTTTGGGATCTGAAGCTTGTTCCAAATCATCTTATGGGCAAGAGAGATAGGCTTAGAATCCCTCCAGGCGTGGTATGCCAACTTGGTGGTGAAGGGCTCTCCCTCCCAGGTGTCGGTTTCATCCACTTCCTGGACATGTTGTAAGGCCCAGTTATGGATCCTTGCAGCCCTTTTCCAGGTAACCGTGTCTGTAGGACGTTCTTGAAAAGAATCCGGCCTGTATCTTCTCCTCATGTATTCCCCCCAAAGGCCTTGTGAGTTTCTAATCTTCCACCAAAGTTTGGTTGAGTAAGCTGCTTCTACATCTTCCAGGTGTCTAATGCCTAGACCTCCTTCATGTTTTGGGCAGCATAAGCCTCTCCAGGATATCCAATGATATTTAGGCTTCCCATTTTTGTATCCAATGAAAGTTCTGCATCTTTTTGTTCAAAATGTTGTGGATAGATTTAGGCATTTGCTGGACAGCAACAATGTGTAAGGGTATTGAACTGAGAACATGCTTAATTAGGATTAAACGCCCCATTTGGTTGAGCACCTTGCTATGCCAGGTATTAAGGTAGACATCAAAATGTTGGACAATTTTCTTACAATCTTCCTTCTTAACTTTCCCTTTTCCAATGGTTGCCCCTAAGTATGTGAAAGGTAACTTGCCCTCTCTCATATGAAGTGCTCTTTGCATATTAGCTTTGATTTCTGGCTTCACTCTCGGACCCATGTAGAAATGGCTTTTGTTGAGGTTGATAAGATGTCCAGATGATTTGAGGAAACAATCCAGCAGCCCTTTGAACCTGAGCAAGTTTCTGAAATGACCACTAAGGAAGAAAATTATGTCATCCGCATATGCAAGGTGGGAGGGGGATGGTTTCTCCCTGTATGAATGGCTTTTAAGGAACCCTCCTCAACCTTCCCCTTAATAAGTCTACTTAGGCCTTCATTTCCAAGGATAAAGAGGAGGGGGGATAGGGGGTCCCCTTGCTTAACCCCTCTCTTCATTTTGAAGAATCCATGTGGAGTTCCATTAATGAGGATGGAGAAGTGGGTTGCCTTAAGTGTGGATAAAAGAAGGTAGCATGACTGGGAGGAGAAACCAAAAGAGCTTAGAGTAGCCTCTAAGAATTGCCATGAAATTCTGTCAAAAGCTTTGGCGAAGTCCACTTTGATAGCAATGTTGGCGCTTCCAGAGGTGTTGTCAAGGCAGTGGATCATCTCCTGGGTGAGGAGGATGTTTTCTTCCACTCCTTTACCTGCTTGAAACCCACTTTGCTCGGGACTGATGAGTTTGTGAAGGAGTGAACCCAGTCTATTTGCAAGGATTTTAGTATTGACTTTGGAGAGGAATGTGGATAATGAGATCGGCCTGTAGTCTCCCAGAGATTTAGGGTTGTCCACCTTAGGAATCAGAGTGAGGAGAGTCGCCCCATAGGATTTAGGGATGGGCAGACCCAAGAAAAATTCTTGGGTTGCTCTAGTCACTTCATCATGGATGATGTGCCAGTAGGTTTTGAAGAAGGTCCCATTGTATCCATCCGGGCCTGGTGCACTATGAGAGTTGAGGTCCCAAATGGCCCCCCTTATTTCCTCCTCTTGTGGAACCGCACAAAGCATTAAGTTATCCTCTCCATTAATGATATTGGGAATGTATGAAAGCAGCTGCGGGTCAATACTGACTGGTTCATCTGAGTAGATATTGGTGTAGTAATCTATTGCATGTAACGCAATGTTGCTGGCCTCCTCAATAGTCCTACCATGGTCATCCTTAAGAGAAGAGATCCTAAGCTTCTGGCGCCTATTTTTGACCACATTATGGAAGAATTTTGCACTAGCATCCCCCTCTTTTAACCACCTGATGCAAGACTTCTGCCTCCAAAAATCAGTTTCTCTTTTGGAGAGCAAGAGAAGTTCAGCATTGGACTTATTGAATTCAACCAAGGATTCAGGGTTTGGGTTCGCCTCGAAATGGTCTTGGGCCCTGCTAGCTCGAGATTCTGCCTCCTTAAGTTGATGGAAGATATTACCAAAATCATCCTTGCTCCACTTGGTCAAAATGGCCTTGAGATCCTTGAGTTTTCTCCCAAGGCCTTTCATGCCATTGTAAGTTTTATTGTTCTCCCAGAAAGATTTGATGGTGCTTTCTAAAGTGTGGTGTGAAACCCACAAATCCAGGAAACGGAATGGTTTGGGACCAGAGTAAGTGTTCATAGAAAGTTCCAGGAGGAAAGGCCTGTGATCTGATGCTCCCTTTCTAAGCATAGAAAGGTGTACACGGTTAGCCCTATCCATCAAATGTTGATTGCCAAAGATGTGGTCAAGTCTGCGCCATAACTTTCCTTGGCTTCGTTTCCCACTCCAAGAGAAATGTCCTCCTGAGGGGTGAATATAGAGGAGATTAGAAGCTTCCATGCATTCTCTAAAATCCTCCACTGATTTATAGCAAGGATTGCAGTTCCCTTTGTGTTGGTCAAGACTGTGGATGCAGTTAAAATCTCCACCAAGTATCCAGGGGTCCATGCCTACGTTCCAAGAGGAAATTGCATTCCATAAATTAGCTCGTTCAGCCCTGGTGTGCCTGCCATACACAGAAGAGATCCACAACGGGCTATGAAGTGCAGCTGAGTTGAATTGGCAATGAATGATTTGGGTGCATTCAATTGTTTGGATCAATGTTAGGCTTGGTTCCTTCCAGAAGATCCACAATTGGTTATTAAGGTGGGAGGATGCATTGGTCATTCCCAACTTAAGCTTATAATCCTGCAGCTGGCTGTTATCAAGCAAGGGTTCCATAATAGCAATAAAAGAAAGATTATAAGAAGAGGATAAAGTTTGAAGTCTAGGTGAAGACTTCTTTATTCCACGACCGTTCCAAAAGAGCAAAAACATCAAAGAGATTTGGGTTTAGTTGTGGTTTTGCTCCTCAAGGACATGCTAAGAGGAGGCAGAGGGGTCTTGACACCTCTTCCCTTCATAAAGGGGATAGCATTGGTTTTAAGCGAGTTACTCTCAAAAGCGTGCAGTGGGCTCTTATCTTGAACTCGCTCACCTTCCCCATCAGAGTGAATACAGGTAGGAGTACCTGGAATATCAGTGTCCTCAACATTGGAGAGGAGTGCCAGGTAGTTAAGAGGTGAGGAATGACCATTATTTGCTCCTACCTGTTTGCAAAAGGAGGCTTTGAAAGTTGGCAGCTTAGGGGGACAAGAGTGGCCCTTTGATGAGGGGCTTTGCACCAATGGGCTAATATTTGGCGTAGCTTTAGGTTTGGACGCTGAACTTGGGCTTTTTGAGGATCCAGCAGTATTATTAATATTATAATTGGGCATGCATTGTTCTGAGCACCCCAATTTGGATGGGCCCGGTATGTCTAAGCAACTCTTGTCCTTCTTCGTTTGCCCATTAGTGTGAGTGTTGCTTCCCATCACGTTATGAGCTGGTGCCTTACCTTTGCCCTGAACACGGACCCACTGGTGTGTGTTATTTGACCTGACTTCCTTAGCAGCTTGCAGCCTCCCCTCCGTTCTCCCGCCGGTGAGGACTTTTCCGACGGGCTGGGAATCAGTTTTGCAGCAGTGACCCCAGCGACCACAAGCCAAGCAAAAAGGAGGAAGATCATAAATGATTTTAATTTCACGCTCCCAGGCTGGAGTACGTACCAGAATAGAGGATTGCCTGGCCTTGGACGCGTCCATCTCCACCAGCACTCTGGCAGTATTGAAGTAGCCACCCCTCGCTGTGGTCTCATCCATTTGAATGGGTTTTCCCAGAGTTTTGACGACAGAGAAGAGGGATTGGGCGCTAGTAAGGAAGAAAGGAATATGTTTAAGTGTGACCCATACAAGAACCATAGGGCTGTCACGTTTATCTTCTAAGAGAGGATCCCATTTAGAGAGATACATCTGATGGCCATTTGCTCTCCAAGTTCTTCTTGATAAAAGCCTTAAAAAATTCGTTTCTGATCTGAGGATGATAACCACGATGAATCTACTGATGGAGATGACACGAAAACCAGAGAATCCTCCCCTCTCCAAGGATGTCCCTATGTCTGCAATCTGCAAGTCCCTTGCAAAACGAGCTTTAATGGCGTATGGGAAAGAATCTCCAATTTTCCTTAATTCCTCCGTGGTGAAGGTGATCGTTGGTATTCCCTTGCTGGTGGACGAGATGGATCCTTCCTCCTCCACTGTTTTGAAAAGATCGGAGAATAGCTTCACCGGCTTGCCGGAGACCGGCGGCTTTCTCTCTCCTTCACTAGAGAACATTTTTTCCATCATATATATATATATATATATATATATATATACATACATACATATATATATATATATATATATATCAAATGGTTATAAAATATTTTAAAATCTAAATGAACTGAATAATTTTAAACGAACCGAATATATTTAAACGAATTGAATATTTAAACGAACCGAATATGTTTAATATATTAAACGAACCGAATACGAATCTAAAAAATATTCAAACCGAATTCGAATTCGAATTCGAATATCACTCCATCTTAACGAATATGAATATTTTTTATGAATATTCGATTCGATTCGGTTCGTTTACAACCCTATTTATAAGGATGGATAAGGAATTGTTTGAAATTGAATAATAATAGCTGTTAGAGAAGAATAATTTACTCCTAATACTATAATTAAGAGAATCAAACCATTGGGGGAGAAAAAGACAAGGAATGGGGAATTCTAGTCTCCGAACGGTCCATCACATCGACTTTTGTTAACGAAACGGTCGACCACTTGGGGTAACCATCAGAATCTGCCAACTGTCAGTAAAACGATCGATCATTTTGGAGAAACGGTTCATAGCCTCGACCTTTCAGTACCATGTGCGCAATTCAAAAATAAAGTTGGTAAAATGTTAGTAACTTTTTCAATACTCATCGGAGTTGAGTAATTCAAGAACCGGCGTTCTCGTATTGAGAAGAGCTATAACTTTAGTTAATTATTTTTAGAGAATATGATTTTCAAAAATATTTACCAAATGTATTTTATAAAAAATAAATACCCAAGTAAAAATATTTTTGTGTGTGTGCAAAATTTAGCTTGATCTTAGAGATATATCATTCAAATATATTTAACAATAAATGACTCTAAGCTATTCTGCGCTAGTCCTATGTGAGCGAACGTATTGACGCAATCAACACATTTTAGTGAATTTTGATGTTCTTACACAATTGAACAAACGTTAGCTCAATTAAATTACTCCCTCCGTCCCCAATGTTTGTCCACTTTTAACTTTTGGAGTTGTTCATCTAAGCACTTTGACTCATCAAATTCTCTCAATGTGTAATTATAAATATAGTCATGTGTAATATTGTTTGATTTGTCTTAATATATAGATTATTAATATATAATTTCTATAATTTTTTAATATACAAATTACTTCGTATAAGATAAAATGGATTAAAGAAATGTATTGGATAGTGTGTAAAAATGAAAGTAGACAAATACTGGGGGACGGAGGGAGTATTTGTTAACATCAAATTAAAACATGAGATTAAGCATAGCAAGGCTAACATTGGAGTCTATTTGCACTCAACCATCTGAATCCAAAATAACCTAAATATGAAAGAATGGAGTTCAAATTGACCGTCTGATTTGTAAGCTCTATTTACCCATAAAATTACTTATGGGTAATGCGAGTTTTGTCAAAATAACTCTCAGGTCCAACTATTTTCAAGAAGACAATAGAGGTCCTTACATTTTATTGTAATGACTAGGAGGAGATATTTCATCAAATACTTCATCCATAAGTGTTAATAAATGTATTTTTTCCTATTTTGCCATTACTCAGTTTTTTCATTTTAGAAATTTTTTTATTTCATTTATTTTTATATCATACAATAATTTTGAATTTTCATACGATTTTATAGAAGAAATTCTAAAAAAATACTTTGAAAAGAAGTAACAAAAAAAGAAAAACAAAAAATAAAAAAAAAAGAGCGACCCAAGAGTTATTACCATAAAACGCTAAAAATAGGAAAAATACATTTAATAACATTTATAGATGAAATATTGGATGGAATGTTTCCTCCTAGTCATTACAACAAAATGTAAAGACCTCCGTTGTTTTCTTGAAAATAAAGGGACCTGAGAGTTATTTGCACAAAACTCGTGTCACCCGCAAGTAATTTTCTGCTATTTACCTTTCTGTCAATTTACAACTTGAACAATAGCCTTATACTCCCTCCGTCCCCTATAGATCTTACCATTAGTCCTTTTTATTTATCGACTATAGATCTTCTGATTACTTTTTTAACAATTAAAATATCACAACTACTCTCACTTAATTTATTTATTTCACCTCACATACCTTATTTAATACATTCCACCCATTTTCGTTAAGGGTATTATGATAAACTCTCATCTTTTTTCAACTCTTTTTGGTGGTCCCAAAGTGGTAAAATACAAAGTCTAGAGGGGGGGTGAATAGACTTTGTTACAGATTTAAAATCTTTTTCGTTTCTTTTGAAAATGTGAAAATAAGTGTTAATCTAGAGTTCTTGTGAACTTTAGATTGTGTGCGGAATTTGGTGGGTAGAGTGAGCAGTAATCAATATGGATGGGTTAGTTTTCACAGTTAATATAATTGCAAGTACGAGTAAAGATAAAAGAGAGAGACACCCAAACTTTAACGAGGTTCGAAGGTGGGGTAATCCTTCTACGTCCTCAAAATCCACTATGTAGTTGGTTGTTGAATAATGAACCAACAATTACACTTGTGTGAATTTCTGCACGGTATATCTTCGCAAGGCCAATGTTGCTATTGCACTCGTGCTGGCTTTGTTGTTCCTTCGAAGGTCACGCTTCTTCAACAACTGCAACATCCGAACAATAGGACTTGCAAGATCAACTTGTAAGAAAGTTGACCTACCCCCTTTTAATCAAGAAGTTTGATCAAAAGTTGTATCCTTCAACGTGGTGTGGAACTTGAGGCAAGGAAACCTTCAAGTGTTTACACTATAGCTCTTTGGAAGGAGGAGGAGTTTGCTTCTGGATAAGGAGTTTAGAAATCTCTCTTTATCAAGCTTTTTGGGCTAACTGTGAATGAGATAGNTGCTGGCTTCAATTTTGAATGAAGATTGTGATTTGAAGATTCTTTGTTGAAGTGGGTGTTTGGACGTACCCAATTGTTGAGAAAGGATTCCTTTTTCCACAGAATCCGTCTTCTAGCTGTTGTTCAAGAATTCAAGACTGTAGCACTTTACTCTGTTTGTCCTCTAGTGCTTGTTTAGGAATTCTGGACAGGCTCTTCAATTTTAGAGGCCCAGACTTTGTCTTCGAGTAGTTTGTTCTTGAATCAGCATAATTATCTTCAATCTAGCCGTTGAAAATCAAGAGATTGATTTTTCCTTACCAACGGGTAGAATTTCTTCATTCAGGACTTAGATAATTTTTCCAAGTCTTTTCTCACTTGTCCGCTTTCTGAGAATTCCGGTCTTCAATGAGTCTTCTGATTCTTAGCTGACAAATCCGGAGGAGTCATTCTCAGACTTCCGGGTGAGAAAGAGCTCCGCGCTAGTCTTCCGATTTGGATGACTTAGCCTTCAGCGGGTTGTAGCGAGACATCCGGTTCTTATGTAGTCTTCCGGATCTGAGGATTTACATCTGATTGAGAAATCCTTACTTGTCTCTGACATTTCCGATCAAGATATCCAATTTTCATATCACTGAATTTGATTAAGTCTTCAGGCATCAAAATGCTTAAAGAATTATCACAATTTTATTGGAAATCTCAAGAGCTCGGTTTTGACAATATTTCTAAAAAGAAAAATTACATTGAATATTGAGGGAGACCTAAAGTCCCTATTACATTCTAAATACATCATCATCAAAATCTATAATATTTTTCCCAACACTTTTTAAAAACCAAAAAATGAAAACCACAAGCCCTTAGAGGGCAGAGGGAGTAAAGGGTAATTTCTGAGTATCAAGAAAATGACATGCACAGTGAAAAATGAAAATCTGCAAAAACTAAAGTCTCACCTGAAAAGAAGATTCAGAGAGGTCTGTAGGAGCAGTAATTGCAGTAATTGGAAACAAAGAAGCAGCAGCCGTCCAGTCGCAGTCGACCCCTCTCCCCAGTCCCCACACCCATATGCACATATTGGTGAGTTGTTTTATTTGTTTCGTGTTTCTGTGCAATGCCAAATTTACCCCCACGCCCCCACCCATTCGTTGCCGTCTCACTTTCACCCCCATACTCCCATTTTTTCCCAATCAAGGAAAACATTCATTCAGCTCCAACTGCCCGCACCACCCCACTTCAGACCCATTTATTTTTTGAAGTTTTTAAACTTTCATGGCTTCTCTCTCTGGATTCTTCCTGTCATCCCACGCGCTTCTCCCTTTGCTCTTATAGGAACAACCATGGTTTATACCCGTCTTTTACTGTACGTTTCCAGCTTCAACTTCCAGTTTTCTGAATCTACAAGTGTTCTTTCAATTTCTTTGAGGAGAGATTGCTACATATTATGACCTTTTTTTAAAAGATCATTTGCATTTGTGTGATTCAATTTTGTTTTTTTGGGCTTTTGCTTTTGGGATTTTCAACAAGTTAATGTTACTCTGCTCGTGTGGTTTTGAAACTTTTAAGTTTTCAAGTGTGCGCATCAGAGAAATATTTTGACATCTGAAGCGAGTGGGATTGAACTTTGGTGTCATTTCAAGGATTTATTGGAGCTTTTTATCTTTTGGAAGGTGATGGAATTCCTTTTTAGGAAAAGACAGCCAAAAGAGGAATAGTGATTTCAATTTCTTTAACTGGGAACAGCTCATCTGGGGCTTAGCACCATTTGGGTTTTTTTTTTTTTTGTTTTTTTTACGGGCTGGCTTTCACTGCAAAGAAAGGGTAAAGACCTCTTTGCAGGGGCTTTTGGGTGATAATATGGCACATTCGGTTACTCTTTATTACTATTAGCTCAAAAACTACCATCCAATCCTTTCATTTTTAAGGAAACACGAAAAGAAAAACTTGCAGTTTTGAATTTCTTCATAGACGATGTTCTTCATTGGGAAGTTTATTCAGCTTCTTTATGGTGTTTTCTTTTGGTTTCTTGCAAAAAAAAACACATTGCTTATTTGGTTTCTTATATAGGTGTGCTCATTTACTGGCTGATTGAGTTGAAGAGTTGAAAATCGTAAGATTCTGCTGGCACCAATGAGTCATCATGAAGTGAAGAAAGGGAAAGCAGAAAAAGGTTCTGATGTTGTTGCAGAGAAGGTAATGGTCGCTGTGAAGGCATCAAAGGAGATACCCAAGGCTGCCCTTATTTGGGCATTAACACATGTTGTTCAACCTGGTGACTGCATTACACTTCTAGTGGTTGTCCCTTCCAACAGTTCTGGTAATTGTCTATCTATTTTGGCAAGTTCTGGCTTATTCTGCGTATATAGTAAAGTTCCTTGTCACGTATTTGGCTGAAAGTTGAGATGTTACCCATCCTTTTCTTGATGCAAACCGCAGCACATTCAGCCATTTTAACCAATTAATCCTTACTAAACATGCCTTTACTCTAAGCTTGTGGGGTTTAAAAGAGCTATTATATTAGCTGGAAAATCTGTCAGAGATAACTTGTTTTGGTTTATTTTGTTGGTTTACTCTATTACTCATTACTATTCCCTAATAATCATGCTGTTAGATCAGTCCCTTCCCTCCTTGTAGCGAGTAGTGTTATTGTAAAGGCAAATAGTAAACTCTTATTAACATCATGCTGTTCTTGTTTCTTCTCAAATTCAAATTGCTTTCGATAGCTTGTTTTTTTCTGATAACAGCTTGACATCTTTTTATTTCCCCCCCTGAACTATTCTAGGTAGAAAATGGGGGTTTCCAAGGTTTGCTGGAGATTGCGCCAGTGGCCACAGAAAATCACACTCCGGCGCTAATTCTGAAGAGAAATCTCACATATCTGATTCTTTCTCCCAGATGATACTTCAGCTCCATAATGTTTATGACCCAAACAAGGTTTGTTCAATTATCACATCTATGCCTTAATTGAAGACCTGCTTACACACAACTTTGGACTGCTGACTTTGCTTTTTTTGTTTTCATTGTGTTCCCTAGCAGATAAATGTGAAAATCAAAATTGTTTCTGGTTCACGATGTGGAGTTGTTGCCTCTGAGGCAATGAGGATTCATGCTACTTGGGTTGTTCTTGACAAGTATACTTTGTTTACTGTGCTAATCTTCAATGATTCTCAGTTTACTTTGGTTGCTCTGTAAATTTCTACTACGTTTTTTTTTCAGACAGCTGAAACATGAGGAAAAACGATGCGTGGAAGATTTACATTGCAATATTGTTGTTTTGAAACGATCCCATCCGAAAGTTCTTCGCCTTAATTTAGTTGGATCTCCTAAAAAGGAAACTGACCCTCCCATTTCTTTCTCTATTACTGAGAAACAATCTGAACAGTGTGAAAAACATGAAATGAGCAAGAGTGATACATCAAATTTGACTCGGGGTCAACTTGTTACTCCGACAAGTAGTCCAGAGATCTTTACTGCAACTGAGGTTGGTGCATCATCGGTTTCCAGTTCTGACCGTGGAACTTCTCCATTTTTCAATGCTGAAGGAAGCAGAGATTCGAAGAAAGAAGAGCTGTTGGCTAAAAAAGATGAGCAAGATGGTAGTGAATCAACTTCAGGCAGTGACAATGAAAGTTCATCTACTTCTTCAAGTTTAAGGTTTCCTCCTTGGATGTCAGACATTGTCAGCCCATACTCTAGTAGGCTGACTCAAATCCCTACAACTAAGGTGATGATGTCTAAAGTCAATGAAGAAGGCGGGGGGTTTGGTTCACCTAGCTTTAACAATGATATGGATTTCAGTGGAAACGTAAGAGAAGCTGTTTCGTTATCCAAAGGTGCGCCACTTGGATCTCCTCCGTTGTGTTCTATTTGCCAACATAAAGCACCTGTCTTTGGGAAACCTCCCAAGTGGTTCAGCTATTCCGAGCTGGAAGCTGCAACATTTGGATTTTCTCAATCTAATTTTTTGGCCGAGGGTGGATTTGGATCCGTCCATAAAGGGGTTCTCCCAGATGGACAGATAGTAGCTGTGAAGCAGCATAAACTGGCAAGTTCTCAAGGCGATCAAGAGTTCTGCTCAGAAGTTGAAGTTCTTAGTTGTGCTCAGCACCGTAATGTCGTCATGCTGATTGGATTTTGTGTCGAGGATAGCAGAAGATTGTTGGTCTATGAATATATTTGCAATGGATCCTTAGATTCCCATCTTTACGGTATGCAAGATTTTACCGTTATAAATGTCTTAACTTCAATGGGTAAATGCTCTATGGAGTATTTCTTAAAGCATGTTGGTGTAAACCACCATTTAGCATTTGTTTACTTGATTAGTTACATAGTTTGTTAGTTAGTTAGGAAGATATTTTTTGTTGTTACTTGTTTTTCATTTTCTATATATAGGAGTTAATCATGTAATACAAATGTTGAGCTAGTTAATACATTTTATTCCAACATGGTATCGGAGCTAGGTTGCTACGCTCCAAGCAATCTTCTCCCTCTCTTCTTATCTTCTCTCTCCCACAATCTCAACAACTCCTCGATATTTCCGGCAATGAAGAAGCTGAATCTCCGATTATCTCGCGTCGCTGACTCGTCGCAGTACAGCTTGCTCCGGTCCGTGGCGCGGGCGGCGGCGCCGTCTCGATCGCGGCAGTTTGAGTCGTTCAGGACGATAAAGCTCAGATCTGGCTCGATTGGAGTGCCGGAGGGGCACCTGCCGGTGTACGTCGGAGAGGAGATGGAGAGGTTCGTCGTGAGCGCGGAGTTGCTCAACCACCCTGTCTTCGTCCGCCTCCTCAACCAGTCGGCACAGGAGTACGGTTACAAGCAGCAAGGCGCTCTCCGGATCCCCTGCCACCAGGCTCAGATCCACCAAACTCGCCACGTGGGATCTCCGTCGACTCCAGAACGCATCCCTATGGAAATTCACGACGGCTGTGGTTCCGTCTATGAAGATCCTCTATTATGGGCTCTCCATTCTTTGGGCCTCCTTCACCTATTGATCTCTCCAATTCAGATTGTATCAACTTCATTTTCATCCTCAATGGCAGCCCTTGATCGCTGCAATTCCTCTCTAAGATTTTCAATTTCAGCTTTCATAGTTGGAGTTTGTTGCAAATCTGTGTTCATCCTTTTCAGATCTTCAGTTATCCCCTGGATCTCGGTTGTGTGCTCCTTTTTAGCACCATTTAAATCTTTAATATATGCACGCACTCGCATAAGCTCAACCCTCATAACTTGTACAGATTGGAGATCTATCTCCATCTATACAGACTTTTCATGAAGTTCTCTTATCTTCATTTTCATTCTCATCTTTGGAATGTTCAGTTTCAATCATTCTCTTTCACTTCTGTAAGTCAGAAGTTTCATCATTATTCAATTTCACTCAATCGGTTTGATTGAGCCTAGCTTCACTCGTATCGTTTTGGTCGAGTTTCACTTTCATCATCATCCGGTTTTCGGTTGATTTCATCAATTGTTTTTGTCAATTGATTTCATTTCATCCTTTGATGTTTTCATGTGAATTCATCAATTGATTTGTCATCTCATCTTCATCATCGGTTGTGCATGGTTCACTTTTCTGTTCATTCTGGAGAACCATGGCAGCCATCACTAGCAAATCGCTGTTTTTTTTCACCTTTTGTCTTCAAATTTTATCTCTGAACCTGAGAATGATTCTATCTACAATCAAAAGCATTACTTTTCCCATTCAACAGAGAGTTGTGCTTCTCAATTTCAGAACCAAAGGCCTTCAGTTTCAGGCCTGAATTCTTGAAACTATGAAGAGAGTTTGCTCCACTGTTATACAACTTTGCATCAAAACTATGAAGAGAGTTTGCTCCATTGTTATGCAGCTTTGCATCAAAACTATGAAGAGAGTTTGTTCCATTGTTATGCAGCTTTGCATTGACTTCAATACCTCTGTCTCTAGCAAATTCAAGTTCGCAGATCTCGGAGTTGATTCTCTTAACACGGTCGGTATGTGATGGGGGGCTTGAGGCATTTGGTGTAACTTTGAGGAAGATTCAAATTCTGGTGGCCTCCAAGGTTTTAAGAAAGTGGTATTTGACCAGCTTTATAAGATTGCTGACCTGCCATTCTTGGGAGAACACAAGAGCAAATTCCTGGATGTACTTGAAAAGGAAGAAAAACATCCTAACATCACAATAGGAGTCATTGTTCAAGCTTCTATTTGGTGGAAAGAAGCAACTACCTATGAAACTTGTTGAAGAATCAATGAAGAGTGATGCTGCAGAGAGTTCAATGTTCAATCAAAAGCAAAGATCCTAAACCAGAAGCTTACTGTTTTGGTCAACGGCTTTTCATCTACATACACATTGAAGTCAACACAGATTTTATTCCATTGCAAGTTGAAGTTGTTCCCACCTTCAACTTGAGGGGGGGGGGGTGTTGGTGTAAACAACCATTTAGCATTTGTTTACTTGATTAGTTACATAGTTTGTTAGTTAGTTAGGAAGATATTTTTGGTTGTTACTTGTTTTTCATTTTCTATATATAGGAGTTAATCATGTAATACAAAAGTTGAGCTAGTGAATACATTTTATTCCAACATCGCGGCCATATTTTTTTGTTCAATTTTAGAATTAATCAATTTTTTATACACAATTTTGGAAATATAAATGTAATGCCACTGACCCCAAGTCCCAACTAGTTGGTAATATGGTGCTGCTACTGATGATGATTCCATGTGTTTTTCAGGGCGTAATAGGGATCCCTTAAAATGGTCAGCTCGCCAAAAGATTGCTGTCGGGGCTGCAAGAGGATTGCGGTATCTTCACGAGGAATGTAGAGTTGGATGCATTGTTCACCGAGACATGCGTCCCAACAACATTCTCATCACTCATGACTTTGAACCTATGGTATGTGTAATTAGCTTCTTTTGTTGGAATGCATTTGTGATATGCATGGGGAGTTTGGATCCAATTTGTACAAAAGTTGAATTAATTATGTGATTAGTGGTCTTTTATTACACATGGTCTTTAATGCCTCAGATGTTTGTCTGTTTCTTTAGTAGACAACTAAAGATCTGCCAAATCATATGTTCGGTGTAATTATTCTTTACTGTTGTGATCTGTTCAAGGTTGGAGACTTTGGCTTAGCCAGGTGGCAACCTGACGGAGACACGGGTGTTGAAACACGAGTGATTGGAACATTTGGGTCAGTGCTTCAGAACTTCTGTCAATGTAAAAGACAATTTTGTATACAAACGATTAATGGAACGCTAAAGCTTTTTAGGTACTTGGCTCCTGAGTATACTCAAAGTGGCCAGATAACTGAGAAGGCAGATGTGTACTCATTTGGAGTGGTGCTTGTAGAGCTTGTAACTGGACGAAAAGCTGTGGATCTTAACAGGCCAAAGGGAGAGCAGTGTCTCGTAGAATGGGTTTGTGTTTTTTAAAAATAAATGCATCATATCAATTGACAGATCTTTTAGGATTTCCTTTTTGTTTGCTTACCCTTCATTGCCTATATGACTTTATACGTATAGGCGCGCCCGCTGTTGGAAGAGTATTGCATTGAAGAATTAATAGATCCAACGATACTCAAGTGCTACGACAAACAGGAAGTTCATTGCATGTTGCATGCGGCATCCTTGTGCATTCGAAGGGACCCCAACAGGAGGCCTCGTATGTCTCAGGTAACTTCTCATTTCAAGAAGCAATCCACCATTCTGAAATATCATCATATACCGAAAGTTAGTAGGATTCTATGGAAACCAACCTTCGCGACCGACTAGTGTGTACCTCACTCCAGCGGTTTTCATAATCACTGGATTCTAAAACCAGAATTGGCTCCTTTTGAAAATGCTAGCCAAAACCACCATATAAGTATGTAAATTTTTAAAAGTTTAAATCTACTTCCTCTGTCCCAGAAATATCAGTTACTATTATAGCCTTGTGATAACTTTTGTTTATTTATGTGTTTTCATTGATTATTTGATAAAATAACTTGTCGCGTTTTGTTTTATAGAGCTTTTGATGTAATTTCAAAATATATAATTTGTACCGAGTATTTTTTATTTTTATACCAACTTGTGAATAAAATAATTTTAAAAGAGTTAGAATTTGCACATTGTTCGAAATGAGATGATACTTTTGGAACAGAGGGAGTGTTTAATTTTCCAAACCAAACAGTTGAAAAAAACATTCATTTTCCTTGGGATTTTTCCTTTGCTTGTCATTTCTCGACTTTCAAAGTTAGCAAACACGTCTTGGGATCCTCATCTCTCATTCAAGCATTTCTTTCAGGTGCTTCGGATTCTGGAAAGGGACCTCATAATGAATAAGGGTTACATGGGGACACCAGATTATGATGTGGGCAGCCGGAGCAGCCGAATGTGGTCATTGACAAACGTGGTGTTAGGGGGATTCAATGCCAAAACTCGCATCCGAAAGGAGGCTTCCTAATTCACGAGAGAATATGTGAATGAATTGGCAAATTGGTATCAAGCTAAAGCAGGAAGTTTTGTTTGTGTATAGGAGTGATGGATGGGTAGTGGTAATGTTTTGTATCATTCCACGGCAATGGCTTTAGTTGTTTGCCAGGAATTAAGGTGAAGGGATGGAGGGAGACGCTATCAAGGGAAATTGGGAACCGGAATTCTCCTATGTAGCATTGAACATATCCATCAATCTTCAACTTTTGTTTCTTTGAACAAACTAAACATGCAAAAATCAATTGACTAAGGACATGATAGAAGAAGTGCCCGTTTGGCAACGATTCTACCATTTTGAAAAAAAGCCTAAATAGTTTAAATCTAAATCTGTATTATTAAAAATGATGGATATCGGGTCCATGAAATAGACCTGAAAAGGCTCAAGCATGTTATCCAGAGCCCACCGAGATAAAGTCCAAATCCGGATTATAAGAATGGGTCGAACCCAAGGATTAAATGAGCAAATGTGTCAAGCCCAGCCTGTGAAGGTGGATTGGTCACTAAATATAAGGAGAGCCCAATCCCCCTGATTGTAGGACTGAGGAGCGATTGATAACTCATTCTTCCCCCACAATTGACGCATGATAGCCAATTAGCTTGATAATGTAGTGCACGAATTACATACTAAGTATGCAGTAGTGTTAGGCTATAAATAGGAGATAAATTCCATTGTAACCGAGGCTGAAACAAGCTAATATAAATATATGGGAGTTATACATTCAATTTATATTGTTCTTATTTACATACAAGTTCTTCGTGCCACCATAGTTGGGTTAAATTCTATCATTGGTTCTTCCACTGGGAGATATTGACTGTGAGAAAGACACTGTGAGAATATGGCTGGGCGAAGAACAAGAAATTCCAGACGCAACGTTGCCAACTCATAGCAGTTGTTTGCCGGGACGAGGATTCCTCAGCAGCACGACGTCGTTCAAATCAATGGGCTAGAGATGGCTCTGAATAATATCGCTGACATGATGGCGAATGTCATGGATAGGTTGGAGCGAGCCCTGTTGGGTCCTTCTGGAATCCCTCATGACCCGGTTGGACAGCCACGTCATACTCTACACATGGCCAGATGACAATATTGTCCTATTTTGCGTGAGCTTCGTAACCTTGAGGAGATTGAAAGTAAGAGGGACGTGATCGTTAGGCGTCTGGAGAGTAAGCTCAGAATAACAAGGAGAATCACAATCGACCCTGAATAACAAACCAGGCACCAGCGGGACTCCAAGCTACCAGCCAACCACATAATGTGGAGACAGGGAACCTGAGGGCCACGGTGTTTGAACGTATTTCACAGGGACGTATTCCTGTGAGTTACTAGGACGGAATCCGTAGAAGGCTCCCGTGGTTTGGGAACGACCACAGGCTGGCTGGCCGGGTAGAATCGTCCCGCCATGTGCCGCATTCTCAACCGTGTCCTGGAAGAACCCAAGCGGCCCTTAGGAGCCAGATGGAGGGAGATGAGGTGCAAAGCTGGCAGAAGGTATTAGTCTTAAGTGCTTGGAAAAGACAAATCCAGATATGGGAGATATCTAGGATCTTTAGCGACAAATCCAGGATATGTAGCGAAACGTCAATCATGGACGGGTTTTTACAACTCGTACCAGCACACACCTTGGTCTGGGGAGTTTGCGAAACCCTCCCCAATGGGGTTCAAGGTTCCATTTATCGAGATGTACGACAGGGAGTCTGACCCCAGGAGCACATAAATAGTTATGTGCAAGTTATGATAGCGGTGGATGCTACGGATGCACTAATGTGCTGTTATTTCCTCCAAACTGTAGACAGCAAGGGAACGGACTGGGTGAATCACATCCCAGCAAGATCCATCCGGAATTGGAACGAACTAAGCCTACGATTTAGGAGTATTTCGCAGGAAATTTCCAGCTTAAAAAGCATTTCATTTGGCGTCCGTTCGGCAGAAAAATGGCGAGTCCTTGAAGAATTTCCTAGTCCGGTGGAGGAACGAATCCCGTGAATTTGGGGGAGCTGATGAAAAACCGAGGTTGGCCATGTTCACGGCAGCCTTGCATGAAGGGATCCTTCACACTGACCTTAATACCCATCCCTCGAGCACCTTTGAAGAAGCTATGGTTCATGATGACAGGTATGTGACGTTTGAGGACCGAAAAGAAGAGAAGAGAGAGAATGTAACGCCCTAAAATATACCCTAAAAGTTATATTGAATTACTATTCAATTAAACAAATTCTTTGATCAAAATAAAATGTTGTTGGGCTTTGGTCCGAAATAAAATATGTATTGATATCCAATAAACATAATTGGGATAAATTTCATAGAGATAAATCCAATATGTTGACTTATTGTGTGACCTTGATTGGGAACCAGAGTACAGGCTCAAATCGAGGATAAATGAAAAAATTGCTGTGATGTGAACTTGAAATGATTTATTGAAATAAATCATGAGAATAAGTAATAAGAATTAAATGAGAGAACCTTTTTTGAATAAAGATCAACTAAATCGATTTTAACTCTGTCAAATTCAAACACCCAAAAATATGATGTCGGGAAAAGTATAACGAATAAATATAAAAGTTATATCATTGGATAGAGTTTAACTAGCTAATCGCAGCGGTGCAAACAGAATTCAATTCAGAGAAAGTTTGGCCAAAAAGTGTACCCCGACTAGGACCAAAATTAGTCCCAATCAGAAAACGGCATATCATATCGCACTATCACCAAACGATCACGCAATTAAGCATCCTACGCAGCAGCAACTCAAGATACCTCTTTTCTTCTTCTTCTTCTTCTTCATCTTCATTTTCCTATATACGGAGGGAGAGCTAATCTCTCATTTCTCCACCAATTCATGAAATTTTTCCTCCTAATATGTTCCTCTGAGTGTGGAGAGTGCAATGGTGCTGTCAATTTGTTGTGAAGCCACCGGAGCTAGCCACAAACCTCGCCGAAAGTTTTGCCGGAAAATTCTCAAAACCTTTGATAAGCTTCCAGGTAAGCCCGTAGATATATCTAGTGACTAGAATGTTCGTATAGATCGTTTCTACGTTCATAAACGTTTGTTTGGTTGAGTTTTGTGTTTAACATGTTTGAAGAACCAAGAATCATAAACCATGAAATTGTTGTTAAAACTATGAATTAATGATACCAAAATTATCTATGAACCTTGGAGAACATTTCTATATAATTTAATTGAAGTTCGGTGACTAAAAATGGTATTTACAAAATTGGACCTTAAACGAAGAAGAAGATGAACAGTGACCAAAAATACAGAGGCTGGATCGATCCCTTGGGAGTTGTTTCTCCTAGTGTGGATCGATCCCCCGAAAATTTGACCCGAAAATATTTCCGAAAATGCTATTTTTGAGCTCTAAAATCCTATTTTTGATACCAATGAATTATGACTAATATAAAGATGATTTTGTGGAATAAAAATGATGTTTTGACAATCAAAACATCCAGCAAAGCGGTGGAAGCTGCAGAGAGGAGTGCATCCATGCAATTAGGAAAAAGAAAGGGACAGAGAAGGGCCTCTCCATAGCCCATCCTCCCCGTTCTCCCTCTGGCATCGTATGGTGGGGTTATCCACCCCACCCATTTCATAGTGCTCCCATGCCTCTGGCCACGATTTTGATTGTGCAATTGTTAGGACATGGGCGTATGACTGTTGTGGGTCCAGAGGTGAACAATAACGACTCCCATGAGATCCTTGAGCCTCTGCAACAATAACGGTGCATCCTTTGATATTGGGAAAACTCTTGAAGTATCATGGAGTCCCAATTAATCTCTCTTCATGGAAGCCTTGGGGGGCATGGGGGCAAAGGAGCTAAGGAAAGTTGGGATGAGGATAACATCTGGGGAACTTCGAACAGCTCAAGCCTGCTTTGTCGTTGGAAGTGACAAGGGGAGTGCAAGAATAAGGTTCAGAAGAAGAAGGCTCTGGAGATGAAATGTTCTAGATAGTGAGATCGATGAAGACTTGTTTTTTCGCACCCTCAGCCATGATGGAGAGTGGATAGTAATGCGAAAGGGATGGTGAAACTTGAAGGATGAAAGACCTTTTATATAGTGGATTTGAGGCCGGGAAGACGCTAAAAGGGCGAAAAGTCGTAACAAGAGCAGTGATTGGTGAGAGGAAACGGTTGGGTTGTTCTAAGGTTGACTAGGGTTTTTGTCCTCCTAAGGTGGGGTGAATTACTAATGGGTCCGAAAAACGGGAGTAGGCTGGTTTACGTAAAGGAGAAAAAGAATTCAAAGTCTGGGTAAGTGCAGAGGTGTACGAGCAGAATAGCAAGGTAGAAGTAATGAAATCAATACATAACAGTACAAAAGGAAAATCAATGTCACATTCCTCGGGGGTCCAGGATGAAGGAAAATACATGCGAAAACGAGAAGAGATACAGTATAGGGATAGAGGAATCAATCAGTAGCGGAAGCCTGGCAAAGAGCCCATAATGTTTTATGAAGGTCTCCATGCTAGTCTAGGGAGGCAAGTCTTTTTCAATTTGCCTGTGGATGCAAGTATTCATGTCATACTACATGCCCTCTACGTGAAATGTACTAGCCCGAGTAGCCAACTTAGTAATTTGTGATCATTGTTAAGCTACCTCCCTTTCCAGTGCACTGACTTTCCCCTCAAGTAAGGTACGGAGCCCAAGTCTTTTTCCAGGGTAGATACCCGCGCCCAAAGTTCATTAACCTCGGACTTTGCTATTTTATCTGATTGAAGATAAGTTGTTTATGTTCAATCTGGAGGAGTTTGGCCTCGTTCTCCAAGCCAGTGTCTCTCTGGGCTTCATGCAGCTCCACCCCCAGCTTGGAGATATGCGCGCCCGATGATTGCTACTTGGTTTTCGCCTAGCTGCGTAGATGCCAAGAGACAAGATTCCTTCTCCTCCAGAGCCTTCTGAAGGGCGACCTTCTCTGATTCCAGTCCGACAAGGGTGAAGTTGAGTTTCTAAAATTCAAGCTCTAAGTCCTTCAATTGCTCCCTAAAGGGGGCAATTTTCTTCTGTAGGGTTTCCACGTGGGATTGCTTAGGACTCGGTAGAACGCTGCAGCTGCTCAATCTCCTTTCAATGTCCCTCACTCTAAGCCTTCTAGAGTTCACGATCCTGGGTCAACATCCTTCTCAACTTGCAAGGAGCTTATGAAGCTAGAACAGACCTCTTGAAGCTAGCATCGTCCCTTGGATAGATCCTAGATGTTGGAACGGTTCACTTGAGGCCAACGCTGTCCCTTTGAGGAACCTATGAAACTGGAACGGATCTCTTGGGCTTGCGCCGTCCCTTGGATGGATACTAGGAGTTGGAACAGTCCACTTGAGGATGACTCCGTCCATTTGAGGGACCTATGAATATGAACGGACCTTTTAGGCTAGTGTCGTCCCTTGGATGGATCTTAGATCTTGGAACAGTCCAGTTGAGCCCGGTGCCGTCCATTGGAGTCCGGAACGGACCACTGGAGGCCGTCATGGACCGCTGTAGTGAGGGAGCTCGCCGGACGGATAAGGGCTGGTTTTTCCCTTCCCTTCCTCTTTTTCTACGGTTCCCTCTTTCTTGGCCAATCATATCCATTCTCAAATATTTTTACTCGGTACTTCTGTTCTTTTTTTTGAAGTCCCTCCCCACTTCTTCTCTTTTTTTCTTCTTTGACTTTCGCACTACTTTTTTTTCTTCTCTCCCACCTTTTTTATGTAACTCACAATTTGAGAGACCAAAAAAATATAAATTTTTTTTGTCCTCGGTCCCACGGTCGGTGCCAGTGATGGAAACCACTTTTTTGGGGCGTCGACCCGACAAACTCGTTACTAGGTTGGCACCACATTGAATGGTGAAATCTGGTAAATAAATAACTAAATAAAGCAGAGAGAAATTATTTACACGTGAAAATCCAAATCGGAAGAAAACCACAAGTCCTTTTAGGCGGTGTCATGCCAAGGGGAGGAACTTTTATTAATCTCAAAGAAATTTACATATACATCATTGTAGGAGCTTCGAGCCATTTATGGAGCTCCAAACTTAAAGAAGAAGAAGAAGAAGGAAGGAAGAATAGTAATAGGAGTTTGTAGGAATTGTCCTCTTCTTCTCCTCTCCGTAACTTCTTATAGTAGGAGGAAGGAATGAGGTAGTGGGAGACAAGGGATTATGCCTGGGTCCCGCCAAATATATCTTTTGGCCCTTGTCAATATTTATATATCTCTTCAATTTATCTTCTTCGTCTTCATATCTTTGCCTCTGTTTTGAATAATTTATCTGATTCATATCTTGGGCCGGATAAAATTGGGTTTACTTGTACTGTTTAAATAATATTGGATTAGATAAAATCCATAATCCATCAACGTGTATTTTAAACACACAGCATACGAATTTTGAAATATATTTTACGCTATGGGTATATATGTCATTAACCATTTTAAAATTTAGAATACCACAACTATCCCCAACCCATCCCCTTGTATAAGTTTTTGTTCCTTGTGTGCTTTCTTTGTATGCAAAAGGGGTAAATTTATATCGCAAATTATTTTTAAATTCTCATTTAAATGCGTGCAGAGTCAATTTAGTAAGATCATTTTCAGATAGGTGGAGTATTCCACAAAATGAAACACTAATATTGAGTAGTAAAAAATTAGGGGCTCGAGAGTGTGTAGTTCGGGAGCGTCGCTGCATAGTGATTTTTTTATGTGATCTGAGTAATAAACTTGGGTACTCTTGCGCGATCCTGCCAATCTGATTTTCACACAAACATCTCACGTCAATATTACGGAGTACCTAATGACTCTTTACGGTTATAGCTATATAAAATGCTTAACAATTCCATATCCCAATGGATTAAAGATCATTATTCATTACATGACAACTCAAACCAACATTCAAAATCCAAAATGTCTCGCCAGAGTCCTAATAAATACTACTATAACAACTACAAACAAGGCCTAAATCTAGTTATTGAGATTTGAAGCTCATAGTTTATCCATCAATGGCTAAGAAAGTATGAAACGACACAAGTAGATATCGTAAAGTAGAGAAAAAGTGTATCCTAAAAGAAATCATAATAAATGAATGGTCAAATTTACACATTACGTGAGAACACTTGCATTGTACAAAGAATTCAAACAACCAAAGGTCTGTCATCTTCTCTGTAGGTGTAAAACCAATACTAATATGGCCGCTTGTTTGGGAATGCTTTGCGGTTGGGAATCCATTCCAATACGAAAGCCTTGCAGCAAAACTTTACACTGAAGAAGACCCAGATGGCCTTTTTGGAGATGCTGTTATTTCGCTAAAGTTGGGACTTCCATCATCAATGTCATTTACCAAGCTCTCTGGATTGTGGGTTGAAATTGCATCCTTCAACTTCTGGAGCTGCAGAGGCCAGATCGTATTTTGGATGAAAATAAATTATGGCGAGCACCCTTCCTATTTCTTAAGTTAAATATGGCAGTTACACCTTCCTATTTATTACTCCCTCTAATCCAAAAAAAAGACTTTTGTTTTTGGGACATCCCAAAAAAAGCTTCGTCTTTCCTTTTATGGAAAAGTTTAAGCGGCTCACAATATTTTTCTCTCCCCGGCATCACTTTCAACCACACATTTTTTCACTTTCCTTAACTTTTGTGTAACGTCAAACTGTGAGTGTTTGTTTTTGGACGGAGTGAGTATGTAATATAAATATGGCAGCCACACCTTCCAATTTCAAGTAAACTTGGTTCATTCTGATGGTTGCAGTCTTTAACATGCATTGTTTGTTGTGAACTCAGTAATAAAATGAAACGTGTGCAACTTGTTAGTACTCCCTGTTCTTCACAATAAGTTTCACATTGGTTGAAAATTTTGTTTGACAATATTCATAATTCTATAAAATGAAGAGAACATATTTTATGGTAGGAACCAAGAGAGCATTTAGTATGACAGTTCTTCTCCATATCAATTCTCAATCATTTAATTTCTAATGCTTCCGAGAGGGGTGTTAATTAAAGGGGGTGTAGATGTAGTATTACTCTTTTGTTTTTGCAAAATATTAGGATATCTAAAAATAATGAGATGTCCCATCACAATGGAAACATATATATTACCAAAAATATACTCACAATGGCACATTTTAACATTCAAAAGCAAAGTTGCCATCACTATTTCAGGATTTTACACGTTCATGTGGAAGGAATATATGACAATTATGGTCTTAGACGTGTCATCTTATGAAAGTCGCAACAAAAATGTCATTCGACGTGAAACCCTAGCATTATGTTTTTTGGATGACCATAGTGTTCATGAAATTTATACAATTAATTGCCTCTATAAATTTAATGCTACTGACCCCTACTAGTTAGAATTAAGGAATTAAGGTGCAAACAATGATGATTAAGCAGTTTAATATCAGATATGTTAACAACTGTGGTTTTATGGATGTGAATGTCACTAGGTTGTGAAAGGGATTCAAATAACAACTAATGCAGTTGACTAGAAAGTAACATATGAAGTACACATGGCTCAAATTGTAGTACCTTGGCAAGAGAGCAAGAAAATGAATCCACCAGGCCATTGGCTCCTCTGTAGAACTGGAAAAATGGAAGTACCTTAACATTTAAGCTTTTGCACAAGGACTTGTTCTCATCAAAATTCACCTTCAAGAAAAGTATTTCTGGGTGTTCTTCCGCGAGCATGCAAAGCTGATCAACAGGGAATATGAAATAAGCCTTTACAAAGAATGGAAGAAAGACAATTTGTTTTTTCCAATGTATAGTATAATCTGTGAGAATGACAGAGTCTGGAAAAGTCACAGCCTTACGGACCAAAAAAAGAAAGAACTCACCTTGGGAAACAATGCTCGACACGAAGCACACCATGTGCCATAAAAGTCAACAATAACTAATCTATCTCCAGCTTTACTTAAAGAATCTAAAAATTCTTCTGCAGAATAGATGTCAATCATATTTGGGACACTCTTATCCCACCATTTTGGTTGTTCCGTCTCGGCAGTGGTTGCATGTGCCTGACACCCAAAGCAAACAAAAAGTAACTCTCCATCTCCACTTCTATGATAAGTTATGGCCTATTTTTACAGCAAACTGGTCATTCATGATTTAAAAAAAAACAAACAAAACCTTGAAAATTCAATTCATTGGGTTATAAAACCCATCCCCCCACCCCCACCCAATTGCTCCAGTCTACGGGGATTCACCAAACCAATAAAGTAGCTAATTGAAAGAACCCGACCGAAAACAGCCAATTTGAGGAATTGGACATTCGATACACAATAAGCATCGAATTGCCATAGTTATTGAGAAAGAAAATAACTCTGCCAGTGAATAAGGTAAAAAAAGTTACTGGAATCTGAAAACACCTTCAGCAGAATTAATCCTCTTTCATTGAGGCGATCGGATGGGACAGAAACACGACAGCGAGGAACCCTTATACCACATGGGATCAATTTAGAAGCGATGGATGATGGAAGATAGAAGTGTACTGGCGCTGTCCAGAGATGAGAAAATCGGCTAAAGTTGGGAACCCTAGATGAACTTACAGAGTGTCCCTGCATACTATACTCCGGCTCGTCTTGACATCACCTATACATACAGGAGAGATGTTTATACTCTACCATTGCCAAATCTAGGAAGCATCCCTTTGTCTGATAAGTACTTATTTTTTTACTTATTATTCTATAGTACGGAGTATTTGTCTTTTTTTTTTTGTTTATCAAAATTGGTAAAATTTGACTCTCAATTAAATAAAAATGTTATATTATGTATTGATAAAGAAATAATTTTATTAGATTTATTATATAAAATATTTTCAAGTTATTTCTTATGTAATGAATATACAACATATATTTCATTTTATTATAGGTCAAAGATTTAAAATACTTGACTGATAAAAAAAAAAAACTGAACAAATATTCCGGGACGGAGGTAGTACTATTTCACTCCACCATAGATAATTCTAATTATGCATTACAAAGTTTGATCGACTTAAATTTTAATTTAATTTATTTGATCATAAAGATAAAATTTAAAAATAAAATTTACATAGTACAAGAGTACATGAGAAATTATACAAAACTAGAGATTTCAAGATTATACTCCCTTTGTCCAAAAATGTAAGCAACATTTCAAGTGACGTGCGAAATATCATCTCTTTTAAAAAAAGTAAAAATTACACTGTTCAAGACGCGACGAGAATATTTTATTTTATCAAATGGTCAATCAAAACGAGTAAACAAACAAAAGTTATCGAGAAGTCAAAATAATAACTATTACTTACATTTTGGAACGGAGGGGGTACAATTTAATAAAATGAGTATTAAAAATAAATAAACAAAGTGTGTTAAGTTTAACTACGTGAATGGTATCTAAGAAAATCTATGGGAGACAAAGGGAGTATCTTCTTAAAATCATACCAGACCATATCTATCATATCAGATCTAGTTAGATAAGAAATAACTTTACATATAATTATAGTCAAATTAGATATCAAATAAGATCTTTTCACATTAGAAATAGTTTAACATATAACTACAATCAGATCAGATCGGAGCGAATCAAATTGACAATTGTAATTTTTCGGGTAGTAAACCTTCCCAGTAAAGGGTTAGTTTTCTCTCCGAGTGTCGTGTCTCTCGATGAGTGGACGAAGGGAATTAGTTTAATTATTCTAATTAGGAGAAGATTAGGATTAGTTTATGAAAGTCTTCTTGGAACGATTATAAAAGGAGCAGAGTAAAAATAACAAATCAAGTCTACTTAGTATAAGTATAGATCTGGACCTAGGGTCAGGAGTCAGGACATCATCTGGATCTATTCTATCATATTAAATTTACAATTGGAATAATAATATTTCTATTACTACTCATCCATTTCTAGATTTGTACTTAATCCGTTGCACTTCGAATATCATAGCCCTTTAGCATACAATATTTTCTCAATAAATAGCTAATTAAATCTTTTGAGATTAATTAACTAAATAAGGCAAGAACAATAGATTAATCATTCCAACATTAATTTAACATTCAAAATGTATAACCAAACTAGCCCAGACCCAGAGATCCGGACCCTAACTTATACTATGCAAACATTAATTAAAACAGCATTTTATTAAATAAAAGGAACTTACAACTTCCATCAAAGCGGAACAGAACAGATCGGGAGCAAAATTTCTCCAAAAATTATTCTAAAACTACTAATATGATAAACTAGAACACGAAACTAAAATGTGAAGCTCTAATCACGAGAATGGGACTGAAAGTGATGCGTGGAATGAGGTGAATCGTGCTGTATTTATAGGACAGAGGCCGAGGCGTCCAAGTCGAAGCGTCCAAGTCCAGGCGTCCAGATCGGGACGCTTGAGCTGTTCAAGCCAACCAGGTTTTGCCACGTGTCTTCCTTGGAGCGCAATTTAAGTCAGGCGTCCAACTCAAAGCGTCCAACTTGGTCAGGCTTCCAAGTTGGACGCCTTAAAGCTCTGGTCCGTTGGGCTTCGCGGCTGGTGCGAGATCTTGGCCCAATTTCGATCCTTTTTGGCCCGAACGTCGATTTTAACCTCCTGAAAGCTCGTTCAAGCCCAAATCTTGATCCTTTGATGATTTATTCCTTTTTCTCAAGTATTTGAACATAAAATGGATGGTTTATGACGATTTCAAGTGGAATCCCTTTTTATGACTCTTAGAACAAAAATAAGAGTTTTATTCATCGAAATCACATTTTATAGGATGATTAAATATTATTTACGTGCAATAACGTTTAGAATATGATGTAAATGATAAGAACGAAATGGACTTATCACAAATAAGACCTTCACGAACCTATCCCAACCTTCGTCTAATTAGAGGAATTAGCTAATTCCCTACGTCCACTCCTCGTGAGACACGACACTCGGAGAGAAAATTAACCCTTTACAGGGAAGGTTTACTGTTGGAATTGGTGCCCTTATGGCTAACTGTTGTAATATCTTAGACATTTTCTATCATGTAAAGATAGATGTAATAAGTTTACAAACATCTCATTCTAACGTAAACTCTTAATTGCATTCCTTGAATTATATTAAAAGATGATTATCAGAATGAGTCTTCTGATGTTGAGACTGACATCTTGTCCCACTTAGTATAATTCCATACGGTGTATAGTTGAAGCATTAACAAGAGTGGGATATCGCTAGTGCGTGTGAGACTTGTGAGAGTTAGATGATTGACCTAGTCTCTTGGTCAACAACGGAGTGTTTGCATATACTCTCGGGCAGATATTATCGTTAATAATTAGATGCCAGACCAGACACACCTTAAGGACATTGCCTAGACTTTTAGTCTATGCTCTAAGTGTCCTTAATGCGACTATTGGTATAACGGTCCTTAGACATGAAGTATTACATTCTTCGAATGCGTGAACCTGTATGCTTTGATTCATTGTCCTAAGCCATATGAAACAAGGATGGTACACAGGCTTTGTATTGGGCATGCCATTGCACGTATTCGAAGATGTAGATTACATACAAAGAATTTGTCACTCCTACTTTAGCAGAATAATGTCTTGTAGGGGGCCACTGATAAGTATGACTGAGGAAATGCATGGCCATGCTGAGATAAGTTTAGACATCTGTTCTCATCAGTCAGACTTGCTAATCAGTAAATAAATTAATGGCTACAAGTTGGCTATTTTATATCCCTTGCACTAAGTTAAGACATTGGGACAAAAGAATCTACGTTATACAAAGTCTTAGTCAGTAGAAAGGTTTTGACGGAGCAAACATTTGAACTTATAATTTGGGGGTAATAATATGTTGCTAGATACCGCTTATTACTTATAGTATTGGTGTAGAGTCAATATTGTGGGCAGTTTTATAAGTGCCTATATGGGTCACACACTTTGGACAATTTAAAGAGTAGGATTATAAGAAAGATCATATTTAATTTGTATATTGTAAAATAGTACAATAAAATGTTTTAATATAATATATGTATTATATTATCTTGTTTTGGCTCTTTTATTGGGGCCCGAGCCACCCCCCTTCTCCTTTTTTATTTTGTTTTAATAATATTTTCTTTTAATATATATATATATATATATGTGTGTGTGTGTATATATATATATATATATATATA